ATGGAGGGTTAGGTTGGTTTATTCGTGGTAACTGAATCTCCAATCAGGGTAAGTGCAATTTATTTACATTTATCATATTGAAAAGTAGTGCAGTGTTATATTAATTTAGCTTATTCTATTTTTATCCACGAGAGAAGTGTTCGAATTGTATACGGGAATTTTACCACGTGCACATGCCGTGAGTTTAAGCGTAAAGTAATGATATTAGTTTAATACTGAGAGTGTAACGTTATATTGTACATTATTTTGCTTTGCCGTACGAAACGGTGTGATACATATTAGTTAAAACTGTATGTTTGAACAATTATATGTGTAAACATTTATGCTATGTTGTTCGGGGTCAAGCTGTTATTATGTCTACGCATATTTGTTGAAGGTTCTTGTACACATATATGCATCCGTGTGGTTACACGATGGTTTGGTGCTGTCAGCGGTGGCAACCTAGACGACTACACGAGGAAGTGGTACGCTAGGCCGAGGCCGTGTGTGTGGGGAAACGTCTTTTCCTGGATTTAGTCAGCACTGCAGACGCTTAAGACGCTTTGGATAAGCGGGACGTCAAGGACGTTGTGGCATTCAGTGCAAGGGCGTGGTACCCGTATGGCATGGACCGTAACAAGGAGTGGACGTGGACGGCTCAGGAACGTGGTCCCAGATGAACGCAAATAGACATTTTGAAATTGTTCTATTTTCATTTTTGTATATTTGTATGTATTTGTTTTTATATATAAACTTGTAAATAGAACATCAATCTTGTTATCACTGATCAAGCTTAGGGTGTCGTGACACTTCTCTTTTTTTATTTAATTTCAAATATTTTTGGCATATACACAATAAAAGCTCAAACTAAAGATTTCAAATTGCAAATCAACACATATATTTCATTGCAAGATATCACTGATTCTAATTCTGTGTCATGCTATTGCCAGTGGTATATCGGAAGCTGGATTTAAGGAGATTTCTCTCAGAAAATCTTTTTGTATGTAAGAGATTTACAAAGATCATTGTTCAACAAGACTGTTTCGAAGATGTACAAAACATTGAATCATATTGACATATATAGCATATATTACATGAAAAGATTTCAATTTTAAAGATTAGTAAGTAGTAATTAAAGATAAATTTAAGACATCATTCCTCGCTGTGAGCGAATTTCTTGAATGAGGCTGTTGACATCCCTGTAACCCTTACCTATTTGCCATTACTCTGCCTCGGTTTGAAAATTAATTATACTTGAATAACGAATGAATTGAAAATACAATTACCATACGCAAGTTGAGGCCGAATATTTTTATATAGAAAATGAAAGTTAGTGATTAAAAAGCAAGAGCCATTTTGTTTGTCATTTCTGGGACGTTGTTTTATCACATTTTCTCGGGTTGGAACTTTTTCGACGTTCTTCTCAGCAACTCTTAAATTTTGTCCTATACTTGGTACTTAGGGTCACTGAGTAGGGAGGGATCTTTTTCGTGCTAGCACCTATTGCGACACGGTACCTCGGTTTATAAGGTCCAATCCGAAGGACCGGTCTCCACATACCACAGTGAGATTCGAACCCGCGACGTAAGGATTGACTCTAGAGCAGACGCTACGTTGGTGATAATAAATATCTTTTAAAAGATATTAATGGTAATCTAACAACCAAGCTCTATGATAAACGACATGACTTTAACTTTTCTATCGTAAACTTCCTTTACTTATACAGCGATATATCTTCATCACCTGCATGCGGAGTGAAATATCTCAGTTGATTCGATACGCAAGGAGTATGCTCTATGTACCAAAAATTTCTAAAACGAGGAAAATTATTGACGAACAGTCTAACGAAACAAGAATATCAGCAGTCTCGTTTAAAGTCATCATTTCGTACGTTCTATGGTCGATACTATTACCTTGTCAGCAAATACATTTCATCATTAAATCAAATGCTGACTAACGTTTTTTTTTATTCTAATTGTTAGTCTATTATTTATACACTCCATTGACGACGGATACTTCCGTTTTGTCGCATATCTGCGGTGATTTTCTTTGATCTTTCTATGGTGATATATCCCATATCACATATGCGATAATACTTTCCACGCCCATCACTACAGGACGCAGAAATCAGGTCATGAGAAAAAAAAACTGATTTTATTTCACAAGTTCATAACTACAGAAAAATGAACATGTTTAGTTATTTCTTATCTTTTAACTAAATCAAAATCCGTGTATTTAATTCGGTTGAAAATTCCCAGTCGTTAAAAAGATTAATCCATTTTGAAAGTTACGGTAATATCTCCAAACTTTATATAGTTAAACTCCTAGATATTTGCTCCAGTCTGTGATTTCATATTTGCCTGGTTCGAAGATAAATTGTCAAAATCTTAAATCTCAGTAAAAAAAATCAAATCAAATTCACTAAGAACGTCCGACATGTTGAAGAGCTTGCTTGAAATGAATTGTAATTTCATGACACGCTGAATATGTTTTTTTATTGAATTTTGACACTCTCAATGAAATTTACGTCATCAGACATATGACAAAATGCTTACATCATAGATGCCTCGTACTATTGGTTATATCGTTTTCATGCGGAAAAATAGAAGATGCATGTCATTCCTTTTTTTCTTGTGTGAACTACACTGCCCCAAGAAACGATTTGTTCAATGCTATTTTTAGAATGATAAATTTACGTATTGTAGACACTCATGTTCTATTATGGGGAGATAATTCGATCAGTATTTCTGAAAAAGAAAGTTTATTTTTAAATGTGCAATTGTTTATTAAGATATCTGGTCGTTTTTGAGTAATGATTTTAGATTTGTTTGTCCATACTACATTAATTCAATTCTGTACATGCATTGCCTATGTTAGATAATCTTATTGACCTTTGGTTCCTGTGTAAATTAATTTTGAACAATATACTTTGTGTTACAAATTGTTATAAAGGAGAGGACGTTCTAAGTTTTTAAGAACTTGTGTCCAATCTTTTTGTTATAACATCAAAACAATAAAATATGTTAAAAACTCCGCGCCCTCGATTTCCACGCCCCATGAAAACGATATAATCAATACTACTCGGCTTCTATGATGAACATATACATATCCTGATCATGACAAGGAGAACACGGCGAGAGCGACTTGTAGGCAGGGAAAGTTCACTCCTTCATGGCACATGATCCCACCTCTGATGTTTTGGAGGTCTGCGTTTGCTCTTCTCCTGTTTTGTATCATTTTATGGACTTTTGATCTTAAAAACAGCTCGTTACACTCATTTCTTCCATTTTAACATTTTTTTTCTGAAGAACGTCAGTCAGCATTTGACTTTGTCTTTGTATCGACCAAAAAACTTGTAAATGCTCAGTAGTTGATTTTCAACAAGACTGTTAATATTTTTGTTTTTAAAACCTGTTTGCCAATAACCTACCTCGCTTTAGAAACGTTAGACATGCTTATGCGTATCGAAAAAAAGATGTCTTAAAAAGTAAAGATGTGGCAATTTTATATAATTGCAGTTTTTATACAACGTGTTTAATATTAAATTCGAAAACATATAAAATAAAATATAAATTAAAAAAATTTCAAATTTGTTCAAATGTATAATTTTAAATCAGTAAGAATTCAGGTATCCATTAATTGATTACAAAAATAATTTGAAAACATTTTTCAAAACAATGAAATTGCCAATAATAACAAATTTTAATTGCACATTAAATATATATTCAATTTTGTTTCCAGATTCTGTATTTTACTGTTCCGATATTGCTTCGAACACAATATATGATGTCACTGTTGCAGGGAAGATAGGTTACTTCTTTAGTAAATCGAAACATGTGATAGTAGACATTGATGTAGACAAGCTATTTCTGTATGGCATACTTACAGACAAAAGCTATTGTTTTCTTTTTTTCCTGTCCTTTCCACATGTTTCTGATCAAGTTAAACAAAAATTACATATGTATACGAGGGGTGATCAAAATGTTTACAAACTACTTGAATATCTTCCATACAAGAAACAATATTTGGTTTTAATGTTGATTATATTTTACATTAATCCTCCCCGATTTTAATGCACATCAACCACCGTTCTGCGCATGCGCGAGTCACGTGATATTGGCGGTCACGTGACCCCCTCCGTAGCTTTTTGTCACAAAAGTTTTTCTGAGTTTTATATTTCTTTCCATGTGAGTTAAATTTTATGACAAGAACAGTTCATTTGTCAGAAATGGTCATATCTCGGCAACAAAATGGGCGGATAATAATATCCTTTCCAAAAATAAGCATGGCGGCCATTAAAAGACAAATCTTCTGTCTCAGGAGAGACCTTTATTCAAGGTGGATAGAGAATGGGTGCATCCTTTTTATCATATTTAATATGTTTAAAATGTAAAGTAAACGATATCTAAGGTATTTAATACTTATATCATTGTTCAAATATTCAACTTTTTTTCAAAGTGCTAATTGGAGGTCTTTGTTTGCAAATTGCTTAATTAAAAATACATATCTTTTCAAACTTGCTTTCACTGGGCAAGATGACAAGTATCATTTTTAACCATCAGCCTTCCTTCACTTAAACGATTAATCCAATAATTAATTGAATCTATAGGAACTAGTTTATCTCAATGAACTGTCTAGAAATTATTATATGATACTGTATAGGGATTTCTTAAATATACAATCAATTGTACATGTACAGTCGTTTGTTGAACGAGTTCGACTACATGTAAGACAACCATTTTTCGTCACAAGTGACCTAAATAGTGACGTCATTTTCACATTGTGGCGTATCAAACAAGGAGAGAAACCTTTATTATGCATATGCTATTTATAGAACTTGTGTATGGCTATGTGTGTACTGAATTTCATTCTAATCTGAATTTCTTTTGATTTTCTAGATATAGAGATAGTTTGCGACATTTTTGATCACCCCTCGTATTTGATGGTTTTAGATATGCAAATTTTCAATATTTTATAATTTTGTGTAAGAGTGTTTCAAATAAACGACTACTTTTAGGTCTATTCTGAAATTAGATCGCAATGATGCAAGTTCAGCAACCTTGATAGAAATTTCACCTTTGTATGGTCGGCTTTTGTTGATTTTAGTGCTAAAAGATGGATGGACAACTGAGAGTAAAACGGATAATGGAAACAAAGGTAAAACTAAATTTATATATATTGCTATATTATTATTATATACTGAGTAATTCAAACATAAACAATATTATATTTTTATACTTGATTCAAGGCTTTGAAACGGATATTGAAAATTTCATCTAACAAATATAAACTAAATTTAAATTTGTACCTAACTGAGTCAAGGGCTCGAGTGAGCTTTTCTGGTCGAAATATGTTCGTTATCTGTCCTCGTTGTCGTTGTTGTCGTCGTCGTCATTGTAAATTTCAAATTTTATCTTCTTCTCAAGAACCACTAGTGTCGATTTAAATTTGTTGAAATCATCCCCCCGGGTATATAGAAACCATAAAATAGAGACATGGTCATGAAATATAACAAAGAAATATAAAGAATAAATCAATACAAAAAAGCTTGTAACTAATTTAAAATTATTCTGAAGAAGTGTATATTAAATTTTGATCACCCCCCCCCCCCCGACAACCAATGTTTAAGTGTCTTTTCTGCTGGAAGCCAAGGTTACGCAACTCAAATCTAAATGAAGCTTCCAGAATATATCCTGATAATCTATCATCAGCTGTCTGGAATGATGCTTCTCAAAGATTTGAATCTAGCAGTTGATCTCTGATTCATAAGATTTTCTGTGGACTTTCATCAGCTTTATATGGTTATTCCTTATAAGAACAGCACAATTTTTTTACTAAAATTTTTAGAATTGCTATTTAAATGAGCAACACTTTCCAGAAACTATAAGACATAAAGACTTAGTTTAAGACTTTAATTTCTAATTTGAACCAGAGTATTTTATAGCGATTCTGAAAGTCTGACCTCCATGCAGTACAAATAATATGAATTTAGCACTTTATAATCAAGAGACAAAACAAAATTCAATAGGGAGTGTGGTATATATGCACTTTAAAATTTCAATAATTATAAGAGTCATATAGACATGAAATCATTGTTCTCCTTAACATTGATGCACTATTAACGTAGAAATTATGTAAAAAAAATATTTTTTTCATAAGGCAATGACAAGTTACTATCAAATAAATATCGGCTGTATAAATTCATTGTTTAAACAAAACAGGTTTACCTTCATGTTTCTAAATCCACCTTACCCGTTACGAAGATATCTACTGAAAAGTAATTTTAAAATTCAAAGTAATTTATTTCACTTTTCCATTGTATTGTTTCCTTTTGTATTTGAATAAAACATTGGATTTTTGTAATGTATTACAAACCTATACACCCCCCTTTTTTTTAACACAACACAAAGACAAAATTCAACACACCAACACATTCTCATAAATCTGTGTAATAAATTTAAGTCGTAAACTGTTTCAATTCATTAAAAATTAAACTTTGAAGAAATGATCTAAAATATGAGAGAATTTAGGAATTAGATAACAATTGTTTTCTTTAGTAAACTTGAGTGAACACCATGAACACTGTAACTATGTGAAAACCTTGATTAACTATAGTGAACACTTTGACACTTTAATTTACTACAGTGAACACTTTGACACTTTACTATAGCGACAACTATGAAAACTTTGATTTACCATGATGGTGATCAATATGAATCCTTTGATTTACTATCGAAAAAAAAAATGATTTACAAAAGTAACTTTGACACTATAGTGAACACTTTGAAAACTTTGATTTCCTATGGTGATAACTTTGACACTTTGATTTACTATTATAATAGTTTACTAGAATTAAATAAGGTAGTTTATAGTTAACCATAGTATTTTTGTTAGGGCAGGTTTAAACTAAGTCGTAATATGTCTTTATTTTATTTTTTTTATCAAGGAGTGTGGGTTCAGTTCACAAGCATGAGTGCATACCATGTTTCTTTTGACGCAAAAAAACTCAACTCCAATAAAACAACGTTAGCTTGCAATAGTATAAATTCTATGAAATATTTACTCGTCTATTTCAGAGGATAATGTTCAAGACAACACTTTACATTTTATACTCACTCCTTTAACTGTTGTCGTATGTGGGGTTGGTGGTTGTTTCGCATTTGTTTTTGTTAAGAAGCGAAAACAACGACATCAATTGAACAGGTATGTAAATTAAAAAGAAGAATTGTATTTTATTTGCACAAACTAAGTAATGCATGCAATGATCTACCTCCCCTTTCGAAAACTATTGTCAACCGAGGCAAAGCAATAAATATCAATAGTTTCTTTTTTTTTTTTTTTTTTTTTTTTTGGTTGTTGGTTTAGGGGAGGGTCCACTTTTACACTCAACTACATGCAATATCTATATACCGGTAATGTAAGAAGGCTATTACTACGAGTTACATGTGAAAATAAAACCATGCTAGGATAAATATCATACTCAACTCAATACTTTGAACAGTAGTATGCTGTATTTCATATTGTTTTATTTTTATTGCTAAAAAACCTATATTTTTAAATTCAAATTATTAGTTATTTGTGTGAGAGAAAAATGTAATTACCAATTGATTTCGTTTGCCTTATATATCTTGATATGAAATATATGGAGATAACGAACAGTATTCAAGATCAAAGTCCATAAAACAATACAAAAAAAGGAGCAGAGCAAATAAGGACCTCGAAAACATCAAATGTTGGATCAGGTACCATGGATTTTATTGATATTTTAAATCTTTTTAGTCCTCCACAGGAATTGACTGAAAATGATCCCTATGTGTATCGTGAGCTTTCAGAGGCAACTTTTACAAGAATAGGTATCAACACTTCTACAAAAGAGGTTATTCCAAGATTATACGGACATGGTGAAGCAAATAATTCAGTCCCCTCGGAAATTGGTCTTCAAAGGGTTACAGAAATAAAATCAAGTTTCTCCTATGCCTATACCACAAACGAGAGTGGGTTGTTAAATGTTTCAAGAACAGTGAGTATAAGGGCGCCGTTGGATGATGACTGAAGATAACAAATGTTAATTGATCATTTCTCAAAATATATAAATATAAATCATTAATGTTTGTAAAAATAAATAAATGCTTGTGATTTTTATACAAGAAATTTACATTCTTATCCTATAATTCTTCCTTTGTTATCATGTGCAAATTGTTTCAACTATTTTATATTTCAACATTTTTAGAAACGAATGCATTTTTATTTTGTCGAAACCAAGATTTGTGCAATATTTTCAAATAAACATTTTTTGGATTCAAATGTGCATTTGCCGCAGGCTCAAGTGAGCTTTTCTGATCACATTTTGTCCGTCGTCCGTCCGTCTGTCTGTCCGTCCGTCTGTCCGTCTGTCTGTCCGTCTGTAAACTTTTCACATTTTCGACTTCTTCTCAAGAACCACTGGGCCAATTTTGACCAGACTTGGTACAAAGCATCATTGGGTAAAAGGGGAATTTAAATTGTTAAAATAAAGAGGCAAGTTCCCTCACAAGGGGAGATAATCAAGAAAAGATAAAAATAGGGTGGGGTCATTAAAAAATCTTCTTCTCAAGAACCACTGGGCCACAAAAGCTGAAAATAATGTGGAAGCATCCTGGGGTAGTGTAGATTCTAAATTGTTTAACTCATGACCCCCGGGGGAAGGGCGGGGCCACAATGGGGAATCAAAGTTTTACATAGAAATATATAGGAAAATTTTTTGAAAATCTTCTTTTCAAAAACCACTGGGCCAGAAAAGCTGAAACTTATTTGAAAGCATCCTGGGGTAGTGTAAATTCTAAATTGTTCAAGTCATGACCCCCGGGGGAAGGGCGGGGCCACAATGGGGAATCAAAGTTTTACATAGGTATATGTTGGAAAAATCTTTGAAAATCTTCTTCTCGAGAACCACTGGGCCACAAAAGCTGAAACTAATGTGGAAGCATCCTGAGGTAGTGTAAATTCTTAATTGTTCAAATCATGACCACCGGGGGAAGGGCGGGACCACAATGGGGAATCAAAGTTTTACATAGAAATATATAGGAAAAATTTTTGAAAATCTTCTTCTCAAGAACCACTGGGTCAGAAAAGCTGAAACTTATTTGGAAGCATCCTGGGGTAGTGTAGATTCTAAATTGTTCAAATCATGAACTTCGGGGGAAGGGCGGGGCCACAACGGAGAATCAAAGTTTTACATAGATATATATAGGAAAAATCTTTGAAAATCTTCTTCTCAAGAACCACTGGGCCAGAAAAGCTGAAACTTATTTGCTCATGGAAGGATCCTGGGGTAATGTAGATTTCAAAATGTCTAAATTATGATCAGTGGGGTAGGGTGGGGATTCATTATGTATTACAAGGAGGAAATCTGGTAAAGAGCAGAATGGTCAAAGCTTCTCAGGTGAGCGAAGTGGCGCATGGGCCTCTTGTTTTTCTGTATATTCTGGGTGTTAATTTGTTTTTGTTTTCTTGCAATACCACTTAATTTTGTTCATTTTTGTTGCTCTTGTAATTGTATTTTCTGTACATTTGGGAAAATATTCGGTGTAATTAAAAAAGAATAGCTTATACACATATGAGTTAACGTACTAGTTTATTTAAAGATTACACAATATCTATTCTCCTTTAACTGAAGTATATTCTAAAACCTACCTAAATAGTTTTGAAAAGTACATAATGCATTATAATGATAAATTCTATTATATCTCTAATTGTACTTACTGTAAGACAAAATTAATATATTCTGATTCAAATCTAATTTATTTAGAAAAGAAAACAACTGTTTATCAATTTAATTTTAAATATAATAAAATTGCTTTAAACAAACTTTTAATCGCAACGATTTTATTTCGCGATTTACCGGGGGTAAACTAATTCGCGACGATTAATTTTCACGATCAAGCCTATTTTGGATCTGTTGTTATATAGGGAAATAAACTTTAAGGATTTGTTCGCAGCCAGAAATATTCGAAAGGACGGAGCTCTCGAGAACCTCCCAAACATTTCTAGCACGCGAATTAAAGTTTGTTTACAGTAGTTGTTCATTTGGCAAATTAAAGTCAACATCAATATCATAGTCATTTTGTAAAAGAAAAGGTTAATTTTAGTGGCATCTCAGTATTATTTATTTTTGTTGATGAAAACTCAGACATCATAATCAATTATAAAAGTTTTACAATCCAACAGAACTACATTTATCTTTCTGTTAATGCTGAAAACATTGAATAAAGGGAGAAAAACAAATATCTCCTACATTTTCAGAATAGTTTCTCTTTGATCAGTAAGGGTCTGAGAACGACATCGAAATTTTTTTTTGCTTTTTAGCTCACCTGAGCCGAAGGCTCAAGTGACCTTTAATGATCACATTTTGTCCGGCGTCCGTCAGTCTGTCTGTCCGTCTGACCGTCTGTCTGTCTGTAAACTTTTCACATTTTCGAGTTCTTTTCAAGAATCGCTGTGCCACTTTTAACCAAACTTGCCACAAAGCATTTTTGGGTGAAGGGGATTCAAGTGTGTTCTAATGAAGGGCCACGCTCTCATACAAGGGGAAATAATTGGGAATATATAAAAATTTAATGGTACATATACGTTTTAAAAAATCTTCTCAAGAACCACTGTGCCAGGAAAAATCAAACTTATGGGTAACATCCTCAGGTAGTGAAGATTTAAATTTGTTCAAATCATGACCCCCGGGGGTAGGGTGGGGCCATAATGACCGACCAAAGTTTTATATAGAAATATATATGAAAATTCTTTTTAAAATCTTCTTATAAAGAATAACAAAGCCGTAATTGGTCATATTTATATGGAAGCATCGTCAGGTAGTGTAGATTCAAGTTTGTTCAAATCTTGACCCCGGGGGTAGGGCTGGGCCACAATGGCTAATCAAAGTTTTATAAAGAAATATATAGGAAAATTCTTTAAAAATATTCTCCTCAAGAATATAGCAAAGCCATGATTTGTCTTGGAACTAATTTTGGATTTAAACTTTTCAATAATGAACCAATTTCTACTTTTTCCTAACCACAGGGCTCAGGTGAGCGATGTGGCCCATGGTCCTCTTGTTTTGTTTATTGTGTTGTTTTTATAATTAAAGAAGAACAAAACAATATTTATATCGTGAATGCACAAATCATGATATAGAACATTAATCGAAATGCTATGTAGCCAATTTTACATAACGAGAACTTAGGCAATATAACATAAGATTTTCAAAAAAATATACTGCGCTTCAAATATTGATTTATATGAAATGAAATAAATATTAAGGGATGATCTTTTGTGTCTTACTTTTTACGGAGTTTAAACGGCTTAATGATAAAAAAATAATCATGGTTTGAGTATGGTACTCATAACCACAATCAAGTCCCAAATATTATTTTCCTTTTGTGAGTGATATATCGGGATCGTAGTATTCGTCATTATGACGCTTTATTACTAACGTTAAATTCGACGTCACGTCAAACGTTCAGATGAAATCGCAAGAGTTATCTCCCACAGTGTGTTGTACGTCTTTAAACAGAAACAATGGGTCGAAATTTGAGGGAGAGAGGACCTTGAGAACGATCTGAGACAGAGATATCACGACCCTTAGGAAGGCACTTTTACAACTAGTTCTATACGCCAGTATCAGGGATGATACTACTAGGTATAAAATATAATATTCTCTTCCTTATGCAGCAGTATACCTTAATCAACTGCATCTGCGGGTTATAGCTTTTAGTTGATTTTATATGCTAGAGCATACTCTACTTATGAACAGTTTCTGAAACAAGTTAAGTTATTGACAAAAGAGTTGACCTTGTCAGTTAATATAACCTATCACTGGGTCAAATGTTCATTGACAATTTTCATACAATTGTAATTATCGTTCGGTGATTTTTTACATATCAATTTTTCTACGATTTTTCCCTTTATTTCCCTGGTGAGCTCGAGATTAAAGATATCACACACTCTGACACATCTGTTTCATACTTGGATTGATTGATTGTATATTGTTTAACGTCTCTCTTAAGAATTTTTCACTCAAATGGAGACGTCACCGATGCCGGTGAAGGGCTTCAAATTTAGACCTATACTCGGCACTCAGGGCCATTGAGCAGTGAGGGTTCTTTATCGTGCCAACGCCTACCGTGACAAGGGACCTACGTTTTTAAGGTCATATCCGAAAGACCCGTGACTTTCACTTCTAGTGCCGAGCGCTTGGCGAAGGAACAGTCACTACCTTTGTTTACGTCTTAGGTATGACGCGGCGCCGCGATCGAGAATCGAACCCGGGCCTCCCGATCACGAAGCGAACGCTCTACCACTAGGCTACCGTGACCGGTATTTCATACTTGGATATTTTACTTGAAAACGACTTAAATGGTAATCTAGCAACCAAGCTCTATGAAAAGAAGAAAACACTTGCTGTGGCCTTCAACTCGATATTTAGATATATCGACGACGTATTGTCAATTAACAATAGTAATTTCCATTCTGATGTCGATACGATATATCCTGGTGAGCTTGAGATAAAAGATACCACAGAGTCTGACACATCTGTTTCATACTTGGATAGTTTACTTGAAAAAGACGCTAATGGTAATCTAACAACCAAATTATATGATAAACGTGATGACTTAAACTTTCTATCGTCAACATTCCTTACTTATAATAATACCTTCAGCAATATACCTTAATCATCTGCATACGGAGTATATATAACTTAGTTGATTCGATACGCAAGAGCATGCTCTATGTATGAACAATTTCTGAAACGAGGTAAATTATTGACAAGCAAGTTGATGAAACAAGGTTATCAGCAGTCTCGTTTAAAGTCATCATTTCGTAAGCTCTATGATCGATACAATGACCTTGTCAGCAAATACAATTTATCATTGAGTCAAATGCTGACTAAGGTTTTTCATACCAATTGTTAGTCCATTATTTATACACTGAATTGACGACGGATTTTTTTCCCGTTATTTCCTGATCATGACAAGGAGCACACGGCAGGTGTGACCGGTCGGCAGGGGATGCTCCATGGCACCTGATCCCACCTCTAATGTTTCGGAGGGCTGTATTGCTCTGCTCTTATTTTGTATTGTTTTATGGACTTTGAGATTGAATACTGTTCGTTATCTTCATATCCTTCATGATAAACGTGATGACTTAAACTTTTTTATTGACAACTTTCTTATGCAGCAATATACATGTACCTTCATCACCTGCATATGGACTTTATATCTCTCAGTTCATTTCGTTCTACATCTATGGTCGATACAATGACCTTGTCAGCAAATACAATTTCCACTGTGTCAAATGCTGACTGACGTTTTTTTTCATATTATTTGTTAGTCCATTATTTATACACTGAATTGATGACTGTTTTTTTCGTTATTTCCCAATCATGACAAGGAGTACACGATGGGCGTTAGCGATCGCCATTAGATGCTCAATCCACCATGGCACTTGATCCCACATTTATTGCTTTAGAAGTCCGTGTTTGAACTACTCAATTTGTATTATTTGAAAGCCCTTCGTTATATCTACATTTTTTAACAAAAGCGTATGTATACTATATCCGTATTCCTATACTCGAACCTTGTTGTACGTATGTACCAAAATTAATATATCTCACTTCTCTACAAATATCAACATTGCAAAAAGTCATAGTACACAAATCCAATGTAATTGTTTTTCACGTTTTTCTATCGTATTCTTTGTTTTTCACAGAAATCAACTTTCAAACCCCATTTAAAACGGACTTATAAATTATATCGGATATTTCGCTTTTTCTGGTTTAGTATCCAGTCAACACTAGCTATTTCCACATGTTTCTGTATTTGTCCCATTTATATTTGGGTGTTTTATTTCTTTTTTTTTTTTTGGCAATAAAAGTTCTGTGAATGTTCGTTCCTTTAACAGTTGTTTATTTCTTTTATTTCGAATGTTAAAACTGAGCTCTAAGAATACTATTATATGATTTATATGTCGTTTTTTATCCTAATGTCAAAGAAAAAAACAAATGGACATCTCCAAGAAATCTAATTTATTAACAAAAATACTTGTTTATAAAAGGAACGTTTAATACAAAAAGCGCTGTTTATTTGGCAGAAGCAATATAAAATGCATAAATAAATAAAATATCTTACTACTGGTTGCATATTTCTCAAGGGGTTGCTAAATAATGAAACAAATTTATTTATAGTTATACACTACAACGTTTTACAATCCAACAGAACTACAGTTGAACGTCAATATCTCACGGGATATAGTTAGTCAATACCATGGATATATCGAGGCAACTTGAAAGTCTCTAATTCTTTTTTCTTCAAGTATTTTATCTTAGATATGTCGATTTGTCGGATATCTCGAATATTTTTCTGGGTCAAATAAAATGTGAGTTATCGAAGTCAGATTGTAATTTATGTAAAACCTACGGGTTCTTTGTTAGACTACCTTTCTTGTGTGTAAGGATCATGGAAGAAAAAAAGAGTATATAAGGATTACAAGAAAAATTCAGAAAACCAAAGATTATACCAATGTCAAAGGTAAATGCTTCATGGGTATAGGTAAACGGGCTGTTTTCATCTGAGAAAAAGAAGGATAATACAACGACGCTGTATAATAATTGTGAGATTTGAAAGTAGATAAAAACTGATAATATAATGGAAACTATGACATCCATTCTTCTACTGATGCTGTTAGTGACAGAAGATTTTCTTAGGGCTTTCCTCTTTAGGAAATGTAATGCAAGAATTACACATATCGGAATTAACCCACATAAAGTAATTCGCATTAATACATATATGATTAAAAGTAATTCAATTTCATCACTTGAAGCTTTTATAGCCCATAATATCATTAAAAGAATAAACACTGAAAAAAGTAAACATAAAATCCAAACCATAAGAGAACAACAGATAACAATTGACGTAGTTAATCGTGCTTTGCTTCGTAAAGGATGGACAGTCAATAAATATCTCATAATAAATAGAACTAGAGGTACTGTGAGCGATGAGCTCAGAAGATTTTCCCCGCCCCCCATATGGTTATTACTGGTGAAAAATTACATGTTTTCCTGTGGCCGGAAAACCCACATAATATGTGTCGCATTATTAATAGTAAAATAAAGGTGCACAATGGCAATATGTAATAAAGATTCTGTGAAAGTTGCATCAAATTTCATTAAAGAAATAAACATTGAAAAAAGTAAACATAAAATCCAAATCCCAAGAGAACAGCAGATAACAGTAGACGTAGTCAATCGTGCTTTGCTTCGTAAAGGATGGACAGTCACTAAATATCTTATAATAAATAGAAATACAATGTGTGCACTAGAACTATAGGCAAAAGCTTCTTCTAAGGATTTGACGGTTATGAACTCAAAAATACTTGAGAATAAAGCATATCTTTGAATAACAAATGAAACCAGGTTAGAAAATTTAATCAGAAACAAACTACCGATATTGAGAGTGTCTGGAAAAGCAAGGCACCCAATGGCAACAAAAGTCGGAGTGTGAAACTTTTTATCGCACAACACCTTGCTGATGGTGACAACATTTCCCATGAAACCCAGTAATCCAAGTATAATTGCCAGTACTACGACAATTGTTTGGAATCCTTCCGATGTCAAATCATTCATCCTCGAATGGAACAAATAGAATGTTAATTCTACTGTAGTATTCTCATTATATCCATTGTAATTAAATTCAGTAGAGAAGTTTTGAGTTTCGTTCCAAATATTCTGAAGAGGTTGTATCGTTGAAGACGATATTGGATACCCAAAAGCACTGATGTTGTTCTGTGTTAACGTTGTTTCTTTATCAAAAGTTGTTGGATTCCATTTGAATGGTAAGGATGTGTTTACCATAATTTCTTTATGAGATGCTTTTTCAAGAAAATCTGTTCAAAGAAATTGGTTTCATTTGCATATTCTATTTTACACTTTTTCAAACAAACTAACTAGACAAGCAAGACAAAACAGAATAATTGTAAAGAAAACATTAAGAATAACATTTTTCGGTTTACATGATAGAAAGATAAACTTTTAATTTTAGAAAGAATTTTATTTTACATACCTCACTGTGTAAAAAGATACACTTTTCGTGTTTAAAATCTTCACTGAAATAAGGAATTTAATCTTTCCTGTTTTTGGTTTTCTCTCATGTGCATATAGTTGTATCAGATGAACTTTTTTTGTACTTTACAGCTTATGTATAATGATAAATACTAGTCTCCTGTGTATTGTTCATTAAGCCGATCCTTTATTATTAGATAATTACTAACTGTGCTCTTTTTAGTTGTTATAGCTTTTGTCTGTTTATCTGTTTGTGTGTTTGTCTGCAAACTTTAACCTTTGTCATAACACATGAAAGAGTATGTGTTACAAACTCTTTAAAACTCATTAAAATAACCTTGACTGTCTATGAACTAAAATATTTTTTCTGCAATCTTTAACTATCGCCATAACTTTTGAACCATACAATGAGTTTTTTATGGCTATTTATGATAAAATTCTTTAAAATGGCCACCATAGTCAATGTCTCTCCTGCGATATCAAATAAACCTTTTTACTGCTTTACAGTTATGCATAATGATACTAATAATAAAACCCTTTCACTGATTTGTATTGTTCATTTAGTCCTGATGCTAAAAGTAGCTTTTTTTAACCTTCACCATAACATTGAACCCTGAGAGATACAGACTTCATATTTGATAATAATCAACAAATGACATTGACCTTTTTTTGACCTATATGCTTAAAATAAAAAAAAACGGGTGCATAGTGTTTCACAAACACATATTGTTCTACATTTATTTATATAGGTGAATCAATATTTCGATTCTTTTTAAGGTAATTTTTTTCACTTCCTCCAAAAATTGATTTTACATTTTACTTTTATTTTTTCTTCCAAAAGTTGACACTCTGTACCAAACATCTAAATTCTTTTTCAGCTTTTATCTTTGTGAAGAGTCACAAAGAGCGGTAGTGAAAGCGTTCCCTTGCAGTGTTGAGAAGACGGAAGATCCTTAAGTTTCGGATTCGAATACCACTTTTGGACATGGAGATCGTTCCTACGAATGAGAGCTAGTCTTGTTTACTTAGGTGCCGTATTGTAGTCGGTGATAGCACAAAAAAAATCCTGACTTGAGGCCATAAAGGCCTGAAACAGCTTAAAATCTGATGCCTCATCACTTCTCAAAATGAGTGAAAAAAACTAATTAAGAGGGTGTAAAACAAAAGAATAAAATCTTTATTTTTGAATATATATTATCAAAAACATTATGGTGTGAAAATTTATATCCCTTTTCTTTGTCCAATTTCATACAAGTAATAATGAAATACATGTATGAAAGTATATTGTAAAAGGATAACATGTCTTCATTCATTCATTCATTCAGGATTGATTATATATTGTTTAACGTCCGTCTCGAGAATGATTCACTCATATGGAGACGTCACCACTTACCGGTAGAGAGCTGCATCTTGGCACTTAGGGCCATTGGGCAGGGAGGAATCTTTTTCGTGCCAGCGACTACTGCGACACGAGACCTCAATTTATACCGTGTCATCCGAAGGACCGGTCTCCACGTCGGGATTCGAACCCACGAAGTAATTAAGGATTGGCTCCTTAACTCGCGACTCTAACCACTGCGCAACGCAGACGACTCTTCAGTCATGAAGGATAACTCTTAAAATCATTATCTAATTCAAAAAGTCTTAAAATTAAGGTTGAAATGATTACCTTTTCATGCAAAAACTTTCTTTTTTACATTATAACATGATTCAAGGTATATTTGAAGTCCCAAAAAGGGTCATGTAAAAAGTTGAAATTTGTACCATTTAAATGCAGTTTTACCATTTGTGCCATTTTAATGCAGTTTAATATATAATAATTGGATTTTGATTGAAAATAGTCCCTCTAGAATATTTCACTGATTTTTGTTGACATGATATGAAATAAGAAGTGACCTGTGGTTTCTTGCAAGGATAACACAAGCTATTTAAGCCATGTAATATATAATAATTGAGAGAAAGATAAACTATCTAGAATACCGAATTAGTACTATTAAAAAACATGGATTTTTTCTTAATGCCTTAATACTGAAGTTTTTAACCTTTAATATATTTGTTAATCAAATTGCATTTTAAAAAAAAAAGTCGATATTTTTCTATTCGCTGTTGCTTAATGCATATTAAAGATTTGATAAGTTTCCCTATACAATTAACAAAACTTTTATAACGAAATAATTAACTCGTTATAACGAAATACTAATTACATGTATAGATGTAATAAGGAGCACATATATACACTCTAATTGTTAAACATTACTTATGGTAAACCTTATCAAAGTAAAATACTCGATATCAAGGTACAGATGTTATACATATATAATGTTTGTGAGTTCTTTTATACGTGTCATTGCTGTACTTGTAGTATGTATGCAAGAACATAGAAAAGGCGGAGATATTTTCTCTATTATCAGAATGCACTGAAATGTAAAAATAACCAACTTCTTAAAGGGTAGCACGTAGGAAAATACAGGTTATATAGAATAACGACTGTAGACGTGTGTTATAGCTCCGTCAGACGTCTGGTAGAGATGAGGTTGATACTGACCCTGTGTTCCCTGTCCCTGTACCTGTATTACTCCGAGGCCTGCACATGTCTCCCTATCCCTCCTAATGGATGTGGTTCTGACTATTGTATGTCATTCTTAAACGATTTCATCACATTGTTTTCGTTTCTTAAGTTTTTTTTTCTAGTTTTGAAGAGTTCATAAAAGTTCTAAAATGATAAAAGTATATATATTGTTGATCAATAAACATTCATTTAATATAAATGTAATTAGATTTACATAAAATGTAAGCGTTTTCAAACTTTAATAACTTTTTGTGAAAACCCCATAGAATTGTGTTTGATTTTGAATTACGAAAATAAAGTGGTAGTTATTTTAAAGAAATATGATTTTTCTTATTCTCTTCGTTTATAGATTTATAACAATTTTATTCTTTAGTTTGTGTTCTTTCGCGTGATAGTACCATAAAATTCCTGAAGGATATTAAATTTTACTTTTCATGTTTATATGTTCAAAGCAATCCTAGGATATGTTGTTGGAGTTAGAAGAATCGGACAAGCGCCAGGGGATAGGAATATCTACACAGTAGTCGTACAGCGTGTCTTTAAGGTATTTTTTCCTTGAAATCTTGATTGATTGATTGATTGATTGACTGATTGATTTATATTTCGTGTGAGAATAGATTGATTAATTGTTTGCGTATTGATTTGATTACCTTACTAATTGATTGATTACCTGATTGATTGATTGCTTTTTTTGTTTCTTGTGAGAATAGGTTGATTGATTGTTTGCGTATTAATGTTCTGAATCTCCTACAGAATTTTTCAGGGCTCATTGGGAGACTACCAGATAATTTATTTGACGGTTGGAGAGATTTTCTATTTGAACATGTTTTGTATATTTTTTGCAGTCCATTTAAATCGTACCAATCAATTTTAAACCAGTTAATGTTGAACATCCCAAACCCTGGAAATGACCAGGTACGATCCCATTGATTAACTGTAAATACATTACATTTATACAAAACAATTTACATAAAAAAGGAGAATACTCCTGTTTTGACTTTCATCTCTCTACATCCAGGTATATTGACGGGGCCATGCATTATCATTTAACCTAAGTTTCTTAGGTTTTTATGTCGATACGATATATCCGATTGAACTTAAAAAAAAGACACACCTGTTTTATACTGTATATCTTAAAGGAAAAGGTGTGAATGGTAGCCTAGCATGAAAGTTTTATGAAAATTAAATGTTTTGTTTTTAACTTTTCTATCGTCAGTTTTCTTTACTTATGTAGCAATAAACATTTACCCTTATAATCTGCAAATGTGTTTTTGTCTCCCATTCTTGATTCATAACAAAAGAGTGTGTTCTTAATCCATCAACTTTTAAAACAAGGTATGCTGTTGACTGAAAAGCGAGGCAACAGGAATATCAAAAGTGCCCTTGTCATGATCGGGAAATAACAAACAATCTGTCGACAATGCAGTATGTACAAAATGGAACACATACGTTATCATGTGACTTAATGATAAATTTTATACACAGACAAGGTCGTTGTATCAACCCTAGACCGTACGAAATGATTAAGTTGTCATTAAATTTTAAACAATTCATTGATTTTATATTCTGTTGCAATTTGGCTAATTTACTAACTATTTTTTTTTCTTATTTCTCCTAATAAATATTATTTTACAGAGATCCAAATATCTAAAGTACGTGATTCGAATTGAATCCAATGTCTCCAGTGCTGCTTGTGGTGTCAATTTACAAGTCGGGAAAACTTACGTCATTTCCGGTAATATTACCCAACGTATAATAGTTTGTATGACATCTAGAAATATGGTATTATTCAATCCCTTTAAGACTTTTTTCGTAAAGGATGGACTAAAACTGACGCTATAAAACGTTATAAATGCTTATATACTTTTAATATTGTTTTCTACAAGGCTCTTATAATTTGTTTTAATCCCTTATCAATGCCATATTCGTTTTTAATTTAGACTAAAATGAAAAAAGTATTTAAATCTCCTGATCCGATTTAATTTATATCAATCTTGAACACAAATGATAAACAATTGTTTAACTATGATATAAATATCAGAGCAATTATGAAATGAATACATGTGTAAAATACCACGCTGTTTAATTGCCAAAGAAAAATGAATGAACACTTTTTTATTTATCTTCTAGGTAGTGTAAATAAGTACAGATTTTCCACCAACTCCTGTCAGTATGTTCGGGAATGGAGGAGAATTCCTCTCTCACAGAGGAAAGGACTATTCTGTAGAAAACGTTAGACAAGTTTGTCTCTAGTTTGAAATATGTCATCTTTATAAACGTGAATGAATGATACAATTAATAAAACGATATATGTACTAATTTCATAAGATTGTATGCGTCTTTAAATTTCTTTTGTCGTTCCTAATCCTATATTACGTCATGAAGAAAAGTTAATGATTACTTTTAAAAAAAATATGCTCCTTGTTTTCTAGGATACCTGTCACAGAAAAAAAGCGGCTGGCACAACGGTCGATACAGGCCTTGGTGGAATCGAACATAATTACTTTTTTTTGGTTTTTTAATATCAATAAAATCGAAATAATAAATCAATAGGTCTATATGGAATTAAACAAGTTCAAGATCAAAGATGGGAAACATTTCTTTAGTAAAGGATCGTTATCAAATGGCTTATAATACGTTTAATTTCATAATTAAATTGCGTACAGATATTTAGATATATACTAGTAATGAAATGCACGCATATCCCATAATCCATCAAGAATCATCAAACAGGAATGTCAGCAAACGTACATAAATATGTAGCTTGAAAATGTTCACAATAAATACACTTGTAATACCTTGGAAAAGGAAATGGTTCCAGTTTAAACATCAATTATTTATATATATAAAAAAACTTAGACGATGGGCCAATTTAGAAAGGAAATCTCTGAAATATTGTCAGAATGGATTAAATGTTACAAATCCATGTTAAAATCTCGTATTAAAAGATTGAGGGGCAATATCAAAACCATCTATTCTTCTGTATTGAATAATCCAAAAGTGGAAAAAGAACTGGATAGATTACATAATCAGTACGTAACTGTCTTCGTTCGAAAAGCTAATTATATAAATTGTATTTTAGAAGAACGTGGATTTAATTTTCAAGTATTTATCCATCTTATACTCATAGTTCTCTTTCTAAGGAGGAAATTCTTCAATTCAGTTTTGAGTATTTTCAATATCACAAACAAACAATTACAAAATGAATTTGAACTACCATATGCATATTGGCTTCTTAAACTACATAAGAATCATCACAAACAAAGATACATAATGTGTTCCAATAAATTTTCGACAAAGCCTCTTTCGTTACTTATTACTAAGAAACTAATAGCAGTGAAGTAGAAACTTCAACAGCACCGTACAAAATATATATTCAGGAAATAATGTAAATCAGATGTGGATACTTAAAAATTCCAAGGAACTTTTTGACAATTTGAAATCACAAAATTTTACAAACATTTACAGCTTAAAAACGTAGGACTTTCAACTATATACACAATAAATTAAAGTCTAGTCTTTTTTTTTTTTTTTTTTTTTTTTTTTTTTTTTTTGATCTGATTTAATTTTATTTCCCAGACCTATGCTATAACATACAAATTCCCTACTCAGATATTTATGGCAGTTGCCAGGGATGGGGCCCTGACTAAACTCCATCTAAATACATTTACAAAAATTAAATTCTATATCACCTCGCAGGATGATTATTGATATTGTAAGACAAATAGCGTACATAAGTAATAATAGTTACATTATTTTTTATAAACAAATAATGTTTATATTAGAATGTTTTTATATATCTAAAATATAAGTAATTGAAAATATTATTGTATTAATTTTACAATCAATATATAAGAGGAGTATATGAATACACATTCCCATTGCTGTTTAAAGGGGAGATCACATAGACTGGCTCAGTCCTTGGGTTCCCCTTCAGCAGCACTACTAGGGGGACTGAAACTGCCAGTAGCGGGAATTATTAAACTTATAAAACTAAATTCTAAATGTATTATTGATATACATAAATGTATTTACATACAAATACAATTTACAGTAATTTTGTAAACTTATCAATAATATCAACATTAAGTGAATAATTACAACATTTAATTACTTTGCACCAAAATACTGTGGATTTTTTTATATGATGTAAAATATTATATTCAGTTTCATCAAGATTTTCTATTCTACAGAACATTTTGTATTTATATATCTTTAATGCAATAAAGGAAATAAAATTATTCAAAAAATATGTTTTCTTATTACATTCTAAGTAAAAACCAATAATAATGTCTTTCCATTGGATTTTAATTTTCAACACAGTGGAAGCTATATCCCAGATATATTTAACATTTCTACATTCAAAAATAAGATGTTGCATGTCTTCTACATTAGAACAGATAGAACACTTATCTGAGGTTTCTTTTTTCCATTTTACCATATATTTTTTACAACAAAGTAAATTGTGTAGTAATTTGTAATTGAAATCTGCAATGTTTTTATCTACAGCTACTTTAATCTTTTGCTGATAAATAGATTTCCACATTTCTTGATTAACATTGAATATTTCTCCAAGTAAACGCTGATGTTTTGGCGGAGAAAATTTCTTACTCAAAAGGACATTATAAAAAAAATGACACTTCTTACTTTCAATCTTACAATAGTTTCCATGAAAATTAAAATACCTTTTATTCTTTATATTAATAAATTTATGTTGTTGATATCCATTTTTTTCTCTAATATATTTAAAAACAGAGTAAATTATTTTATATTCACACAATATATTTGACTTTTTTTGAATTTCTTCTCCTATATTTCCGATAGTTTTAAAACCAGCATCTGAAAACAGGTCTTTTACATATTTTATATTTTTAACCCAGTGTTTAAAGAATATCGTTTTCCCCTTAAATAAAAAGAGTCTATTATTCCATATTGGTTCTTGTAGAATTTCGTTTATATTCATCCTTTTTAGGTCAGGAAGTTTTTTACATTGATTAAAATAAATAAAAATCTCTTTATAAAACAATGGTAATCTTTTAAATGGGTCAAAGTCGTTTAGACTACTGCTGTTGGTTTTTAATATATATTCAACATTTACATTATATGTCTCTAATAAATTCTCAAGGTGAGAGTGCAAAGAGTTGTGATCAGCATTATTTATAAGGCGTGGTATCCAAGCAGCTTTTAATGCCTGGAACTTAGTAAGTACGTCAACTACTCCAATCCCCCCTTCTTCTATTTTACCAATTAATGTATTCCGTTTAATCCTGTCTCTGGAGTCCCAAAGGAAGTTAAAAATTAATTTGCTTATTTTTTTTAATTCGTTTTCTTTTGGAATAGGCAAGATAGATGCAACATAGATGAATTTACTTATACCTAAGCTGTTTATTATTTCAGTCTTGCCAAAAATTGTGAGTTTTCTTTTTTTCCATGATTCAAAGAGTTTTTGCATATTTTCACATTTATCAACCCAATTTTTTCTATAGCATTCATCTTTATTTACACCTATGTATATGCCCAAACATTTAAGAGATGAAGTATTTACTTTAATACCTTCTATTTTTTCTCCGACACGACTCAATGCTCCTGTCAAGATGCATTCAGTTTTATCTATATTCAACTTGGATCCGGCGTATTTAGAAAACTCGTGTATTGTTTTAAGACATTCTTTCATCGATTCCACATTTTTTTTAGAAACAATGTAAGAGCATCTGCATGATGGACATGTTTATATTCTTTACCCCTATCGTATAGTTTTATCCCAGAAATTTGGTCTTAATTCTGAATTTTAAGAGCTAGAATATCAGCGACAAATAGAAATAATATCGCTGAGATCGGACGCCCCTGGCGAATTCCCCTATACAGAGTGCATGTTTAAGATACTTACCCATTGTTTTTAAATCGAAATACTGCATTTTTATAAAGAATTTTCATCCATTTTAAAAAATTGCTTTAAGGTTGCATTTCTCTAAAGTTTTGAGTAAAATCTTCCATTCTATCGAATCAAAAGCCTTTTCAAAGTCTAAAAATAGCAATATCCCATCATTGTTGGTTTCTTCACAATATTCTAATATATCTAAAAGAATTCTAGCATTTTCACCAATATATCTCCCTTTGATATATGCAGATTGATTTTCATTGATTATATTTCCAATAACATTTTGCAATCTTTTTGCGAATATAAAAGCAATTATTTTATAGTCAGTATTAGTTAAACTGATTGGGCGATAGTTTTTTAAATTTTTTTCATCGCCTTTCTTATATAAAAGAGAGATAACTGCAACTCTCTGTGAAAAACTCATTTGTTCATTTTCAAAAATCTTTTTCAATGCTTCGTAAAACAGAGGTTGTATATCTTTCCAAAAACATTGATAAAATTCGTTTGTGAGACCATCTAACCCGGGCGATTTGTTAGGTTTTAGATTAAATACTGCTTCAGAACATTCCTCTAGAGAAGGAAATTGTTCACAGAAATTAGCGTCGCTTTCGCTTAGTGTATTTTCCAGTTCAATTGAAGATAAATAATTGTCTATGCCATCGTCAGATATATTATTTGAAGCGTATAGATTTTCATAAAATTCACACATAGCGCCTAAAATGTCATCCGTAGTCTCTATATTATTGTTATTTATCTTTAATTCTTTTATGACATTTTGTTTTTGTCTACTTTTTTCTAAATTAAGAAAAAATTTTGAACATTTTTCACCTTCTAATATCCATTTTGATCGTGATCTCACAAAGGCACCTTTACACTTTTTGTCATAAAGCTCATCTAATTCTCTTTCTATTTTGCGTTTTTTGTTCATGTCAATATTTTGAAAATCTGATTCTTCTATTTTATCTAATTCCTTTTCTAATAAGTTAATTTTTTGCTTAATATTTTGACTTGATTTTTTTGCGAATCTAATAGAAAATCTCTTGCTTTAATTTTGAAAGATTCCCACCTATCTATCGGGTTTACCTGCTGTTCTTGTAGCTCACTTATTATATTTTTAATTCCTTTTTTATATTCTAAATCAGTTAAATGGGAATTGTTTAATTTCCAGTACCCACTCCCTCGTTTTTTCTCATCTAATTTAAATGATATTTTTAATACCCTATGATCAGACATTCTTTTTCCGAAATTTGTTCCAGGAATTTTACGTATAATTATGTTATTTAAGTCCAAGGCAAAATTTTTGCTTAATAATATATAATCTATTCTACTACTAGGAATATTTTCTGAATTGCACCATGTCTATCCATTTGAGGTTGGATATTTCGTTTTCCATGTATCTATTAAATCAAACGAATTT